TTTAAAAAAAAAAAAAAGTTAAGTAATTTCTATCTCAATTTTCTCATCTGTACAATGAGATAATGGTTCCTAGAACACAATGTTATATAGCATGAAAAGGATAATTCATGAGCATAAAAGCACAAAAAAGAAACATTCAATACACGGGACTCAGTAGAAACAGCAGACTGTGTACTAAGGAAAGTAGTCTTCAGAAAGGATACTACCTGTATATTTTAGAAAGTGTAACTTCATTACAGAAGTAGTAAGGTAAAAAACAGCTGATGGTGGTAATATACCAAAAGATGAGAGAGTAAAAAAACCTAAATATAAAACCCACTAAATTCAACAATCTATTCATCTGAGAGATACACTGATCAAACTGTGAAGTTACATATGATACCACTTGCTTCCCAACATTTTTGAACTATCCAGAAGTTCACAGATTTTACAACGAACTTGAAAACAAAACTGACACTAAAGCCTAATTTGATCAAGATTTTGGCAAAGATATACAGTAATTCCATTAAGTCAACAAAAACACTGTAACAAAAAATAAAAAAGGAAGACTTTTTTGGCTTCTAAGTCTTCCCTTAATTACATCCAGTTTGTTGTCCTTGCTTGCTGATTTTTAATTGTCTTTAAAAAAAAAAAAAGATTTTGATAAAATTCTTTTAAGAATATATGCAGGCATAAGTGATCAACTTAAAGCAGTCAACATGTTTACAATGCTACCAATTTCACTCTTACCGCCATAAAATCGAAGCATACAGCTGAGATCAGGATTTGTTGCCTCCTCTTGTATGCGCAGAGGGTCATCAAAGCCCAGTGTGGATAAGTAATCATAAACTATCTGAAGAGGTCGTTCAGTAGGTTCCAGTCTCCTGCTTACACACACAAAAAAAACATTTGGTATGTATAAAAAAAAACTTCTTTCAATATTTCCATATGCTCTCAATTTTCACTTCTATATCAAGATTTATATCATATAATGCAACTAATCTACATATAATACAATTAATTTATTTTTAAAAGATTTATTTTATTTAATTATGCATACAGAACTGGGGTACAAGCAAGAGGTGTAGGGCTGGTGAGAGGATTCACAAGAGACAGAATGGGAAGCAGAATGGGCAGGGCAGATCAACAAAGTGCAGAGCTGAGGGGAGCAGCAGGTGAGACAGGAGAGGTCCGCTGCACCATCTAGGTCACATCCTTGGCTGGGATCCAACCAAGCTGAAACTGAGCTTCATGAAGCTGCTGTTTTGGCTGGCTTTGCAGTTTTGTGCATTAACCCACTGCGCCACTAGGGAGGGCCCAATACAACTAATTTAAACAAATATTTGTCAAAATCTGTGGACCTCATAGCTTCTCTACTTTTTGAGGACTCCAAAAGAACTTTGTTTGCATGGGATATATCAATATTTAATGAATTAAAATCTAAAATTGAGAATTTAAAAAATTCTATTAATTTTAATAATAAGCTCATTATATGTTAATGTAAATAATATTCTTTGAAACAGATGTTTTCCAGAATAACAAATTTCATGAGGACAATAGCACTGTTTACCATTTTTGTAAATCTCTTTAATAGCTTATTTAATGGAAGATAGCTAGATTTTCAATCTTCAATCTTTTGTGACACTGTTATGTAGCCTGTAGAGAAAGCCACTGTATACTACTAAGTGTGAAAAATTAATGTCTTATTATTAAGTAATAGTTTCAACCTCATGCACCTCTTTTTTTTTTTTAAAGATTTATTTATTTATGCATACAGAACTGGGGTATAAGCCAGAGGAACAGAGTGATGAGAGGATTCACCAGAGGCAGAGTGGGGAACAGGTCAGGCAGATGGGTGATGTGTACTGCTGAGGGGAGCAGCAGGTGAGTCAGGAGAGGTCTGCCTCACCATGTGGGTCACCTCTGGGGCTGGGGATTGAACTTGCACTGAAGCAGCAATGGCTCACGTGCAGTGCTGCATCCCAACCTGGCCACCAGGGAGGGCTCAATTGTGCCAACCAGGGAGGGCTCATGCACCTCTTCTAAGAGACAGGACAGCAGAATCCTTTGAGAACCTCTGGTCCAAAATTAAAGGTAGCAAAATACGACATTAAAAATGATACACAGCTGTAACTGAATTTATCTACTGCTGTGGCAAGAAGATTTTGAGATGCAGACTTTGGGTTGTCAATTATGACCTAGGTATACCATTTCTACTGATGTCAATAGATGAATCTTCCATAAACATCAGGAATGAATGGCCCAAAATTATAATACTCTACTACATGTTCCTGATTGAAAATTAAGGGAAAACCAGAATGTCCAGTAACCACTTGTGGCTCTGTTGACAAAGTATATTTAAAATTATATATTTAAAATATATATATATATATATTAAGATCAATGTGTATTTTCAGAGAAGGGACTACAACTTTAACTATAGCAAGATAGCTATTTACAATTCTTTCATCAGAAAACAGAAATACAGTAGCTGATATGGGCTACAAAATCAGACTGCCTAAGTGTGAATCTCAGTTCAGTCATTTAACCTATTTAACTTCATTGTGTTAAATTCTTCATTATGGGAATAACAAAATTATCTAATTCAGTCATTATTAAAATTTAGTCATTTACTTATACCAAGATAATATATATTATATAAATATATATATAAACACAAAGTTGTTGGCAAGATCATCATTTTGTAGTACTCAGTAAAACATTGACAATTATTATTGAAAAAGTTTATAGCAAGTAAGAATTTTATTAAAAATAAAAATATAGGGCCCTCCCTGGTGGCGCAGCGGGTTAAAGCACTGCACTGAGAAGCTAAAGCCACTTCCGCATGAGTTCGATTCCCGCCTGCCCCGGAGGTGACCACATGGTGTGGCAGACCTCTCCTGACCCACCCGCTGCTCCCCTCAGAGGTGTGCTTCGTCGATCTGCCTGTTCTGCTCCCCACTCTGTCTCTGGTGAATCCTCTCACCCTCCGCATCTCTGGCCTGTACCCCAGTTCTGTACAAATAAATAAATAAATATTTTAAAAAAATAATAATAAAAATAAAAATATATTATCTCTCTCATCTGAAACCACCACCAAAAAACAAGTTAGGAATACCTATTATGTGTATTTAATGCACCTTAAAAAAACATTAATCCTTATGTCTTAAAAGGATTCTGTTTATAAAAGTTAAAATTGTTGGGCCCTCCCAGGTTGTACAATGGGTTAAAGCACAGCACTATGAATCTAGACGCAACTGCTTCAGCATGAGTTTGGTCCCTGGCCATCAATGTGACCAACATGGCACAGCAGACCTCCCCTGTCCTACCCTCTGTTCTCCTCAGCAGTGTATTTCAGTAGATCTGCCTGTTCTGTTTCCCTTTCTGTCTCTGCTGAATCCTCTCACCCTCTGTACCTCTGGCCTGTACCCCCGTTCTTGTATGCATAAATAAATAAATCTTAAAAAAAATAATTCAGAGTGGGAATTATACTGATGAACACAGACATAAAAAAATAAAACCACTACCATATGCTCAGTTCAAGTGTAAACTCAGAACTACTGTATAGGGAATGATCAAAGAACTAAAGTCTATAAAGACTAGTAAATATCAAATGTAACAGAAATGGAAAATAAACCTTTCAGAATAAAATTATCATTAACCCTTCACAAAAGGTTAATGACAATATTAAGTATTTTCCCAGTGCAATGGTAGAATTTTTCTAGGGAAGTATTTTAGGAGGGGCTTCTAATAAACTGTATGTTGGTGGAGGGTCAATTAGCAATATATAAAGATGATCAAGAACAAAAAGAGCTATCTGTGTCTTCAAATGTCAAAAAGGATTACTTATTTTGTATTGCTCTAAAGAGTGAGATTAGGAACAAGAACATCACAATAGTTGGATAGGTATATAGGGGTTGAAAATAAAGAAGAACCTTAATAATTAGAGGCTTAATAATAAAATAGACTTCCTCTTCAAATAGCTCACAGGGAGCTGGAGAGCCATCTGTGACTTTTAGGGTCTTTTAGAAGAGTCAAGAGTCAAAGAGTCCTATTTGAAGCTTGCTATTATTTTAGGATAGAGTTTAATGTATTTAAATATTTTAATTCCATATATTGATTGCATATTCAGGATCAAGAAATAATTCTTTCAGGTTAAATTTCATCAGTTCAGTTTTTCTATTTCTCTATAGACAACCAAAAGAAATAGACACATCTAATTATAACATATTTTCTTAAAAAAAAAAAGATTTATTTATTTATGTATACAAGAACTCGGGTACAGGCCAGAGGTGCAGGGGGTGAAAGAATTCACCAGAACTAGAGTGGGGAGCAGAAAAGGTGGACTGACTGAAACACACTGCTGAGCAGCAGGCAGGTCACAAGAGGTCTGCTGGACCATGTCACCTCCTTGGCTGGGGATGGACTCGTGTTGCAGTAGCTGTGGATAGCTTCATAGTGCCTTGCTTTAACCCCTTGTGCCATCAGAGAGGACTTATGACATATTTTCTGATCCAAAAAGGCTCTGTAAATTTTGGAAACCCTCTTTATATATTTCCACCTAAAGAAAATATTTTCCCTAGCAAGCAAAAAAAAAAAGATCAAGAGAATCTCACATCTGCTCTTATTAATCTAGTAGGAATGAGGAAGCAGGAGCTATTTTAAGAACTACAAAAACATGTAAAATGAGAGACTGGATCTATTTACTCATTAAACTCATCTGCTTCAGAGAGTAGAGTATGGGTGAGGGAAATGCTATAATATGCTTACAAATCAATTTTGTGTTACAAAGTTCCAAAAGTTTAACAGGCTGGTTACTATCTATTTGTTAAAATTCACAAATCAAAGGAAAATTATACACCGCAAGACATGTGTAGGAAATAATGACAATGAAAAGTTCTGTTCAACATTTGAAATATTTCAATTGCTTTAAAGAAAGTCAATGAAATGCTATAGTTTTAGTTCATTTCTAAGGTTTCCAGGAGCTGCTACAGTCCTTTGAAACATGAATATATGTGGTCACCTTTTTTCCAAGCCCCTCAACCAATTCAGTAATGCTATCAAAAGCCATTTAGAGCTCCTAGCCAGCAGAGTCAATAGCTACAGGTAGGATACATATAAGAGAAAAGTAAACTTCATGTCAGTTATTTCATAGGAATTCTAGTTAAGGGCCTCTCTTGTGATGCAAGGGGATAAGTCTTAGCACAATGAAGTCATCCACAGTCACTGCAGCTCAAGTTTTATGTCCAGCCAGGAAGGTGACCCACATGGCGCGGCAGACATCTCCTGTCTTGCCTGCTGCTCCTCTCAGGAGTGTATTTCGTCGATCTGCCTGTTCTGCTCCCCACTCTGTCTCTGGTGAATCCTCTCACTGCCCTTGCACCTCTCCTGTACCCCCGTTCTTGTATGCATAATCTTTTTTTTTTTTAAAGATTTATTTATTTGTGCATACAGAACTGGGGTACAGGCCAGAGGTGCAAGGGCAGTGAGAGGATTCACCAGAGACAGAGAGAGGAGTAGAACAGGCAGATGGCCGAAGTACACTGCTGCGGGGACCAGCGGGCTGGTCAGGAGAGGTCTGCCCCACCATGTGGATCACTTCCTGGGCAGGCGGGATCAAACTCATGCGGAAGTGACTTTAACTTCTTAATGCTGTGCTTTAACCCGCTGTGCCACCAGGGAGGGCCTGCATAAGTAAATCTTTAAGGAAAAAACAAAAAGAATTCTTGCTAATTGTGAGAAGCAGAAGTAATATTAATCAAATCAAATCAAACAAGAAAAAAACTTTGTGTCAGACATCCTATACAGAGCTAGCAAGCAGCATCTTTCACATAAAATTGAGATTGAAACAATCCAACAAATCCAACAAAAATTAAATCATCAA